TGGGACGCGAGGCAGCGGCTCCGCTCCCCTGGCCTCGGCCACGCGGAGAGCCCGGCCCGAGACAGCGCCTCCTGCCGGGCGGGACTGGGCCCCACACCGGCGCCTTGCGCCCGGCTCGCGGCGTGACCCTGGGCAAGCGGCTTCGCCTCTCTGCTCTCCCCCGGCTGTAAATCCGGGCTTGTAAGGCCCAGGGCCTGCCCTCTGGGGGGTGCGGACTGGCCCCGACCCCAGCTGGGGCAGTGGGAAAGCGCTAAGCATCGTTGTAATGTATTTATGTGGGATTATTTTTGCAGCCTCAATAATAAAAATAATAGGAGTACTTGTGGCACCTTAGAGACTAACACATTTATTAGAGCATAAGCATATGCATCCGAAGAAGTGGGCTGTAGGCCACGAAAGCTTCTGCTCTAATAAATGTGTTAGTCTCTAAGGTGCCACAAGTACTCCTGTTCTTTTGGCGGATACAGACTAACACGGCTGCTCCTCTGAAACCTGTCAATAAAAATAATGTACAGTTGTCTCTGTTCTTTACTGGACCTAAACAGAACAGAAACACAAATAAGGTGCTTTACACATTCTTGTCTTTGTTCTTGTTTCTTTTGCTTTTTCGGTTGTTTAAAAAAAAAACTTGCTGGCTTACTCAGTCTGCTGTGAAAACTGATATTAACAAACGTGCAAATATTACTTTTAACAGCAGGTTTACTCAGCCCCAGCAAGCCTGGGGACAGATTAAGTCCTGGATGAGGAGGTCAGTACGGAGGCAGTGGGGGCCAAAGGCGATGGGACATTGGGGGAGGCAGCAGGGGCCAGGGTTGATGGGCGGGTGAGCTTGGGGCCAGAGCCCGTCACCGTGCAGCTGAGGAATGGAGCCCAAATCCCTGTGGCTGGAGCCTGCCCCCCGCCACCCCAGGGCTGAAGCCCAACCCCACTGCCCCAGGGAAGGTGGGGAACTCACACCTGCTGCCCGCTCCTCCAGCTTTTGTGTCTCCAGAAGGGGCAGGGCCCAACCACTGCTGGCGGTCCCCCGGGGAGGGTCCGCTGCTTTGCGCGCCCCCCTCCCCCATCACTGCCCAGGCGTTTGTGGCCACAAGAAAAGCCCCTGATTGCTTCATGTAGCAATGATGGCCGCATTTAAAAAATGCTGGTAGACAGCAGTGCTTCTGAAACTCCCTTTTCATAACTGAGAAACGCTTAAGCGCTTGTGTCTGTATTCCAACATGTGGTGGCCAGTAGAAGCTGGTGTGGGACCAATCACAGTGTTTTAACCCAAGCAATAATAGTGCAAACCTTCTCTCCCCCGCCCCAATCATCTTTAAACCATGCTTTCAATCATAAGCACTATGCAAGGAGGAGGAGGATTGGCTAAAGTGTAGCTCTCAATCTGCAATGTGCATGCCTGGTTCTGGAGCTCACTGCAAAAGGACTCAGTCAGGGCCTGTGTTGGTATTTCACACAATTATAACAAAATACAAACAACTCAGCAAGAAGTTGAGTAAGGGCCCTCGTCGAATGACTGAAGAGTCTTGGAGCCTGAATCAGCAATGCCCTGTGCAAAAAGCCCTATGTGTGGGTTACCATATTTCAGGTTCCCCAAAAGAGGACACTGCACATGTGGGGGTACAAGTTGGAAAACTTGGGGTAGGAGGAGCTGGGGGAGGTACAGTTGGGGTTGCTGGAAGGGGTACATGCAGTGGGGGCAGGGGTGAAAGTAAAATTGAGCTCTTACATCCCCCACCCAGCCCATCTGCACTGCCTAGCCCATGCTGCCCGGGTCTCCAGCGACGATTTAAAGGGCCCGGGGCGGTAGTGGCAGCTGGAGCTGCGGGCCCTTTTAAATTGCAGCCCCGGGGCAGCTACATCTTTTGCCTTCCCCCCCCACCCCCTGGTTGGTGGCCGGGGGGGGGGAGCACAAAATGGACATCGACATTAAAGCGCTGCTGTGGCAGGGTCCTTAAAGCGCTGCCGTGGTAGCGCTTTAAATTCAGCGGTACGGGCTGGTACTGGTGGCTACTTTTTACCGGTACGCCGTACTGCCTTACTTTCACCCCTGAGTGGGGGTAATCACTGGAGATGGGGGGCAGTGTCACTCCCTGTCATGGTGGCAGGGGAGCTGGCACAAGCTCGGGATGCAGTGATGTCCGTCAGGCAGCCCCTCCCTGCAGGACTCCTTCCCCAGGGCTGGGGGCAGGGATCCATCAGCTGCGGATGCAGGGGAATAGATCAATCAGCTGTGGATGCAGGACAGGGACCCATTGGAAGCGGATCAATCCGGGCTCTTTCTGAGGTACAGCATCTGCTCTGCAAGAATCCAAGACATTGCCTGATATTTGAAAAATCCACCAGGACAGAAGCCGGAGGCTCAAAAAAGAGTCTCTGTCCGGGAAAACAAGATGAGTAGCCCCAGAAACCACCGACCTAGTACTGCCAGCCTCAAGGATTCAAAAATCAAAAGATTGATTTTCAAATCATGAGCTGTTGCTAGCTCTTGGATGGGGTTTAATTGCCTTCTGCTGGCTCAGCCTCCCAGGGTGATGCTTTCAAGCTTTTCTCCACCAGGCCTGGAAACGTTTTTGTAAGTAGAGTAAAAGCAGTGACTCCCCCCTGACACCACGACTCCAGGAGCTGGGTCTTTCTGTAACCCCCCACTACTGCAAGCCTTGCAATACAATTGTGCCAGCTGGCAGCGCCCCTGGCCTGATGCTCGGACCCTGAACGAGGGGGTGGAGTGGTGTCCTACTGCTACAGCTGGGCACAGCCCCGACTCTCCGCCAGGCTTCAGTCCAACTCTCTACCGTCCCCTCGGCTGGGACGGGAGCAGCACTATTATGCTCCGCCCCTATTTTGGGAGAATGGTACTTGCCACCCCGCCTCAATGCGCACGCGCATTCCGCAGTTCATTCGCGCCTCTCCCCTGAGCCGCGCGCAAGCGCGTTCCTCAAGTCTC